CTCTCTCTCTCTCTCTCTCTCTCTCTCTCTCTCTCTCTCTCTCTCTCCTCTCCCCCCTCTGCCCCGCTTTCTCTTTTCTTCTCTGTTTTTCTTCAGTTTTCTTGATGTCTCTTTGCCCTCTGCTGTCTCCCTCCCTCTCTCATCTATCTCAGTCTCCCCCTGGTTTTCCTCTGGTTGATTCCCCCCACCTTTACCCTCCCTCTTTGTCCTCACTTCCTTCACCGTCATTCCCTGTCTACTCTTTGTTTCCCCTTCTCCCTCCGTCCCATCCTTCCCCCCCTCCCCGCTCTCTCTATTTTCTCTCATCTCTCTCCCTTATGAAGAGAAAGGTATTTCTCTCTGGCTTTCTAATCTTTTTCATTTTTGTCTCTTTTAGTTAATGTCCTTGGTGTCTGCTTTATTTCTGCCTTGACTCTATTTCTTTCTGTGTCTCTTTTACACACACACACACACACACACACCAATTCCAGCCACCCAACCACCCAACGAAGTCTGTCTGCAGAAGCAGGGACCTCACCTGAGAGGAGGATTCCTGTCCTCAGGCAGCCGCGGAAGCCAGAAGGCCCCATGAGTCCTGACACTGGTGTCAACATTCCAGGCTGTCTCTCCTGGCTGGTGCATACAGCCTGTGGCACAGTGTGGAAAGCATGCTGGGGGAAAGGCCAGCTGTGCTGGGGGCAGGAGAGGAACAAACTTTGTCCTCACCTCTGCCCTCAAACCTAGAGTCCTTCTCTCTCTGCAGAGATGGGAATCCCTGGGACCTCAGGGATCAGGAACTAAGACTGCTATGGCCCACAACAATGCTAATAAAAACAATAAAAACCAGTTACTTGATTGTAGGAAAGCTAGGCCGATTGCCAAGCTGGCCATGAGCAGCCACAAAATATTAATTAAATGAGCGAGGAGCATACGCATGGGGGTGGGTCCTGGTCATAAAAGAAGGCTGTGGTGTCAGGAGGCTGAACCCCCGAGGGCAAGGAGCCTTCCTGGAAGAGGAGCCCTCTGATGATACGGGAAAGAACATAAGATAGTCTTTATTGTAAAAGAAAGGAAGATATGAATCAGCAAGGTGGCACACACCTATTACCCCAGCACTTGGGAGACTGAAGGGTCAGAAGTTCAAGGCCAGCATGGGTGACAGATTTTTTTTTTAATCTCCGCAATAAAAACTAGAGAGATGACTCAGTGGTTAAGAGTACTGACTGTTCTTGCAGAGGACTCGGGTTCAATTCCCAGCATCCCCATGAGGTTCAGAACAGTCTGTAACTCTAGTTCCAGGGTATCTGTCGCTCTCTTCTGACTCCTGCAGGCACTGCACACACATGGTTCACAACACACATGCAGACAAAACACCCATACACATGAAATAAAATTTAAACATCTGGAGCTAGGGAGATGCCTTGGTTAGTAGAGATCCTGAATTCAGATCCCCAGAGCCAGTGTAAAGCCATACATGGTAGCTCTGCAATCCCAGCAGTCCTATGGTAAGATGAGAGGCTGAGGTAAGAGAATCCTGGGAACACAAGGGCCAGCTAGTCTGGTGTACACAGCAGCGAATGAAAGGAGACCTCATTTCCAATGAGGCTGTTTCCAGACCTTTACACACCATGGCATCTATACTCGCATGCATCAGAACACACCATACACACTCACATAAACATGCACACATGCTGTGGGATGTCCTTTCTGTACACCATGAGAATGTATTCCTCTCACTGGCTATTAATAAAAGCTGCTTGACCAATAGCCAGGCAGGATAAGGTTAGGTAGAACAATCAAACTGAGAACTTGGAGGAGGAGAGGCGGAGCCAAGAAAGATGAGTCACCTGCCAAACAAGCAGGACATATAAAAAAGTGAGGCAACAAGCCTTAGGTCAAGTGGCAAAACATAGATAGAAATATAGGTTATATGTAAGAGTTAGCTGTTAAGTCGGGAGCATAACCCCAGCCCCTGGCATCCATCCCAGCCCCATGGCCTGGGAGTTGCCTTGGTCTGGACTCCAAATCCCAGCACGTGAGGCCCTGACCCCTCCCGCAGGAGGGTCAGGACTATGCCCAAAGGGTATTTAAGTGAGTTCCCAGAGGAGGAACATGTGGTTCCAGGTTTCCATGTGCTCCCTGCTTTCCTGTCTCCCCGCCATGTGGTAGTGTTATTCTCCTGGGGAACTACATTTCCCAGGAGGCCCCTGTGCACAGGTGCAGAGTACAGCATCGTCTGCCTGACTCAGAAGACTTCATTTCCCAGAAACATATGCACCCACAATGCAACGCAAAAGCAGCGTCTGATGCGCGTACGCTGGGGTGGCCTTTAAAAGGCAAAGTGCGGTACTTTTGCTCTCTTTCCTTCCTGTTTCCTACTTGCATGGTCCACCACACCCATCCCTGTAATAAAGTTACATGTGGGTTTCTTTGTACCTTGTGGTTTCTTTCATATTCCGCAGAAAGAACATCACTGGTGCCGCAACTCGACCCAGAGCCAAAAGCCGGAGCTCAGGCTTCAGGCGCCGCCTGGGCCTCCGATTTCCTCCCGGGACACGAACAGAACTGAGGACCTCCTCTACAGTGACCCACGTGTTCCATCTGCCTGGGCGAGCTCCTACAAACAACACCGGCTTCTAATCGTGAGTGTCCCCTTCCGGCCAGCTTAACCAACTCTTTTAACCCGGGAATTGACTGGTACTCCCGGTGTTTCTAGGGTTGGGGGGACTTTCCCCAACTGCAGGCCTTCAGGGCCTGGAGTCCCTTCACTGGCATTCATTCCCAGCTTGTCCCCTTTGCTAAGCCCATGCCTGGGATGGCTTGGCCTAGCCAGTCCCCATCTGCATCTTGACTTAATGGGGAGTCGCTCTCGCTGTAGGCTTGAGGTGCCACGGTTTTTTTTGCGGGTGTTTTCATGACCTTAGTTATGGGGGGCAAATCGTCTAAAACTATCACTCCAAACTCCCCACTAGGACGCCTTTTGGATGCCATACAGCCTCACACTTTGATGCCTTCCCTACAGATTTTCACACTCATCCGTCTCTGCTCCAAAATATGGCCCCAGTATACCTTAGAGGGAAACTGCAAATGACCGCCTAACGGCACTTTTGACCCCAACATTTTACGGGAGTTATCAAATTATTGCAATTGTACAGGCAGATGGAAAGAACTCTCCTATGTCTCTGCTTTCTTCTATATGGCCCTTAAGACTGACCCCTCTGTCCTCGCTCACTGTTCACCTGCTCACTCTCACTCTACCCGGTCAAACACAACCTCACATAAACTTTCCAGTCCTAGGTCTCCGGAAGTCCCACATAGATCTTCTTCCAGGTCCAGTTATAAGAAAACCTCACCTAACCTTTCTCCTTCTAGGTCTCCGAAAACCTCACACAAATCCTATTCAAAATCTAAAAAAGCCTCACCTAAGCACCATTCTCCCTCTCCTGCCAGCAGGTCTCCATCCAGCTCCTCCGGTTCCACTTCCTCCCACTCCCCCCCTTCTCATCACAGGTCACGTAGATCACCAGAAGCCTCTTCGGATTCATCCTCCCCATCTCCCTCCCGTTCCCACCCTACTCTGCCTCCTCGGTCTTCCAGAACCCTGCTGAGTTCCCCTTCCTCTCGTGCCAGCCGCCTTGCTCTGGCACCTTCCTTCACTCCTCTGCTCACGCGTTCGTGGGCCACCACAGAGCCTAATCCTGACCAAGCCAAGCCTGCTGCCATCCTGCCATTGAGGGAGGTGGCTGGCGTTTACGGACTGGTTAGGGCTCACATTCCATTCTCCCTTTCGGAACTCTCCCATATAGCCAAATTACTTGGGTCCTATACGTCTAATCCTACCACTTTCATAAAAAAATTTCAATATATTACTCAATCCTATAATCTCACTTTCCATGACATCTTTATGATCCTGTCCAATAACTTACTTCCCGAGGAGCGCAGGCGGGTCTGGGAGCAGGCCAGACAGCACGCGAATGAAGTTCACCAGACTCTTGCCTCCCACCCTCCTGGGGCAGAGGCAGTCCCAGACCAAGAACCACACTGGGATTATAACACTCCAGGTGGGATCTTGGCCAGAGACCGATTTTTAACTTGTCTCCTAACAGGCCTCTGGAAGGCTGCCCTCAAGCCAGTAAATTATTCTAAACTTTCAGAAATTATTCAGGACACAAAGGAAAATCCTTCTTTTTGGATTCCAAATTTCTTCATTTTTGGAACATCTTACAAATGCTCTACTACAGTTTATGAACCTGGACCCAGAATTCCCTGAGGGCAGACAGCTATTAATGACTCACTTTTTAAATCAATGTTATTCAGACATCAAGGCCAACCTCAGGCGTTTGGAGAAAGGCCCCTTAACCCCACAGGCAGAAGTCCTGGAGAAGGCTTTTAAGGTGTACCATGCAAGGAATGACAAAGCTCACAACCACTGCCGTTGCCACGTGGTAGCCACGGCTGCCCTGCCAGCCAAAGCGACAGACTACTCTACCTGCCCTGTTCATGCTGCCCCCCCTGCCTCCTGGGGTGCGTGAGCCACCAGGTCCATGTTTCAAGTGCGGTAAGACGGGCCACTGGGCCCGAGGATGCCCTAATCCCCATCGTAATCCCAGGGGACCTTGTCCAAGGTGTCACAGGGAAGGTCACTGGTCTGTAGATTGTCCTCATGCGCACGGTGGCATGGGGGCATCGGACCCAGAGACTTCACCTGGACGGACCCTGACACTAATTTTTCCACACAGCTCACCTGGACCATTCTCCCCCAGGGTTTCCGAGACAGCCCACACCTCTTCGGCCAAGCCTTGGCCTCTGATCTGCTCTTACTGTCTCTCCCTAAATCCAAGCTCATACAATACATGGATGATATTTTACTTTGCAGCCCATTATTGGAGATCAGCAAGACATATACTGTTGCCCTTTTAAATTTCTTATCTAAAAGGGGCTATAGAGTCTCACCTTCTAAGATTCAATTATCTACCACTCAGTTCCTTCCACCAAAGAAGTTTTATCGTTCCTGGGAGGAGGGCCGGCTTCCTGCGTTCCTGGATCCCCTCCTTTTCTCTCCTTGCCCGCCCCCTATATGAAGCAGCTCTCGGCTCTCTGCATCAGCCCCTTCTCCATCCGGTTACCAAAACCTTCCAAAGACCCCAACGGGCCCTTCTCCAGGCTCCAGCCTTTCATCTTCCGGATCTAACTCGCCCTTTTTCTCTTTATGTAGCAGAGAAGGAGGGATATGCCCTTGGGGTCTTAGGACATCAACTGGGACCTTCTTTTGCGCCTGTAGCATACCTGTCAAAGAAGATGGACCTCACCACTCGGGGCTGGACACCCTGCATATGTGCTTTGGTGGCTGCTGAGCTTCTGATTCCTGCCAAGCCCGCACCTGTCATATCTTAAACCGTTTACTCCTCCAGCTCAAGACAATCCCTCATACATGGTAACTCAGACAGGACCTTGCTCTCTTAAGTTTCAGAGGACACAAGAAAAATAGAGTTCCTATTCTTCACTCAACACTCTTATGCCAACATATTTTCCTTTCTTCTCTTTTTCCTATATGTAACCTCTCCAAATACCTCCAATGTCATGTTTAAATTTCCAAATAACCACTCAGCTGCTCTTACAGGAGTCATCAAACACGGAGCCAAAGATTATAAGCCCAGGTGGTAAGCAAAACCTAAACAGGTCCCTTGACATGACAGGTTTGACACTGACTGCAGCAGTGTCCCCTGGATGTTGAGGCAATGCCCATTATAAAAAAATTATTTCCTTTAAGACATTTTCTTTAAGCTCCAGGGAGCCAGCTTGACCCACTTAAATGGACCAGACTCAAAACGGAATAAGTATCATTTAATTTTATTTTATTCCCCCCACACCTCAAATCTCCCCTTTAATTTTTTTCTTCTTCTAACGTGACTTGTTTTCCAGCTCCTCAAGACCTAGAGAGATGCAGTTTCAATCGGACATCACAGGACACCAGCGGACAGGACATGATCACCAGGATGCATTGGACATCATAGGACACCAGCGGACAGGACACGATCACCAGGATGCATCGGACACCCCGAACCCCTCGACCCCCATAAAGTCAGCAGGAAGCAGTTATGAGAGACTGGGTTGTGCCCCCATTCCCTACCCATTAAGACCCTCAACCCCCCAAATTTTTAGCAAATCAAAAAGCATGGAATGTTATTCTCCTGGGGAACTACATTTCCCAGGAGGCCCCTGTGCACAGGTGCAGAGTGCAGCATCGTCTGCCTGACTCAGAAGACTTCATTTCCCAGAAACACATGCACCCACAATGCAACGCAAAAGCCTCCCCGTGCAGATGCAAAACACAGCGTCTGATGCGCATAGGCTGGGGTGGCCTTAAAAGGCAAAGTGCGGTACTTTCGCTCTCTTTCCTTCCTGTTTCCTGCTTGCACGGTCCACCATGCCCTTCCCTGTAATAAAGTTACATGTGGGTTCCTTTGTACCTCGTGGTTTCTTTCATATTCCACAGAAAGAACATCAGCTAGGCCACCCGAGAGCACCAAATTTAATGTAACAACGGGCATATTAATTCAGTTTGATCTGACCTAATTGGATTTCTTTGCACCAGAGGAACCACCTGTCTTAGGATTTTTTTCCTAACAGAATGGTGCATCCCACCAAAGAGCCTTAGTTTGTCCTGTGGAAAAATGGGAAAACGGGCCTTCCTCTGCACATGCTCCACCAGGCAAGTTTGGCTTCACCTTGGTGAGTTCCCCCTTTTAAACTGCATGTGGGTAGGGTTTGGGGGTAACCCTTTCACTTTTCAAGCTTTTATTGAAGTCACGGCTGTGCCTAAAGCTTTACACATGCATGCGCGCACGCATACACGCACACACACACACACACACACACGGCAGAGGCCGGGCCTCTTGCTGAGATGAGATTTTTTGGGAGGGGTGTGAAAGACCCCCCAGTGTGGGGAGACTCTCACCCAAGTCTCAGGATATCACGACCCCCACCCCCCAGTAACTCGCGAGAAATCGTCCTTGCTGCAATCACACAAGGTTTATTCGACAAGACAGGAACCAGTGCACTGGGGCCGAGACTCATAACTCATGCAGGGGAGGAGTTCGACCTGAGTAACTGGGAGAAGGGGGTTTTAAGGAAAAAAAAAAACACAGCCCAGTAATCCAAACAGGGTAGGGAGTGCGGCATAGAAAATTCTGAAAATATCAGTGATGATCACAAGGGGGCAACTCCCTGTTTCTCAAGATTATTCTCAAGATTACAATCTAACTTTATCTTCAGCTAGTTCCTGAAACAGAGTCACTGAACCGGCTAATCCTAGATTTCTGATTCTTCTCTCCCTGATCATATTTTTGGCTCTATTTTTTCCTACTAGGGGGGTCTGGATTTATCCAGGTCTTTCAGGTGATGGAAGACATTCCCAACCAATTCCTCATGTACCCCAGTTTCCTGACTCAGTGCTGTTCCAGTGGATGCACTGCAACAGGCTTGTGTCATAGGCATGCATTTAAAGTGGGTTTCTTACAAATCCTAGTCCATTCCAATACCCTTAAGTGGGCACTTAAAAACCGTTAAATGGGAACAATCTAACTTAAATCAAATAACACTCCAAAGACCAAAATTTCTTTTTCAAGTATGGCACTCCTGTTCTTTCCCAGGCTTCTGCTTTTCTTTCTTTGTCCATTTGCGACCACACAGTTTGTCCCGCCCCCACTTCCATCCCTCTCTGTGTGTTCATTCATCAATGGCTCTTTTGTCCCACCCCCACTTCCACCTCTCTCTTTACTGATTCGTCATCAATGTTTTGCCCACACACACACTTCCACCCCTCTGTAGCTCCCAGCATTCCACCACTGCGCAACCATTATGGAGATCTAAGCATGCAAGGCACACGCTCATAAAAGTGGCCAATTTCCCATTAGCACCTTGTCCTGGCCCCACTTCTGTTCCAAAGTGTTCCAACGCATGTTCCACTGCATGCCCAAGAGAGCAGCCAGCTCCTGTTCTGGATTCGGGGATCTAAATCTGCCTCTCTTTTCATTGATTGAGAACAACAAAGACGCCATGCGGCCGGTTTGTGAAGAGGCATTTGCTCATAAGTTTCACTAGCCTGTGTCAACACAGGTTCCTATCTGGGCCCCTCCCCCTCAAGCTGTTTTGATTCTGTCTAAAATTGATCCGTTTCTTTTTCTTTCCCCCCACCTTCCACTCCAAAACAATACAAAAATGTTTCATCCTTATTGAAAGATCCTAATTTCTAGGATTCAGGAAGGATCCCCCAGACTCAATAAGCCACACCAATGGATGCAAACAGCAAGAGGATTCTTTATTGTCGAAGGCACCAATGGGTGACTCACCACTCCAGTGAGACTGGGCCCCCGCCATGTATTTTTCCAGCAAGCATTTATAGGGTCTCAGGGTTACATAACAGGGAAACATAGCAACAGCAACATCATTGGTCAATTCAAGTTAACATATGGGTGGGACAACATCAGGACAAAAACAAGTCTAGATTAAGCCAGTTTCAGCCAGTTTCTGCCCCCTTGGGTTTCAATACACAAAGGACTGGGTGTTTTTCTCAAGGCTGCTTCTGCCGCCCACAGATATCCTGTTTTTACCTGGCCTAGTTGATCTCAAAAAACATCTTAAGATGGAGACTAGGGTTGGGGTCTTTCATTTATGTTTCTGTTCTCTCTTGCAATGCCTAGTCAGCTGGCACAGGTCCCTAAGGCTGTCCCATCTGTTTCTCTGTTAAAATAATGTGGCCATGATGTATTTAAGTGTGTAACTGTGTTTTCATAATGTGAATTTAAGTTTTGTGTATATGTGTGCTTCCAGATTACAACAGCTCTAAAGATTTAGCTTATATGCCCAGTTTAAAATGTCAGGTAATGGTACCAGGTTCTCAAGTGCCTTACAAATCTGAGATCATGGCATTTTAACAAGAGCTTCTGACACAGAAACATGCCAGCTTCTGCAGCACCCTATGCGTCCTCTAAGAAGACATAAGGCCTTTAGCCTTGCCTCTCAGTTTGGCAAAGCCACCCGCACAGAAGCAAAACGAGGCCTTTTACCCAGGGAATCGATCTGCTCATCTTGCCAAGACAGGTAGATTAAATCTTCCCCCTCACAGGAAAAATCTTTGGGCCTCTCACATTCAACAGTTAATGGCAAATACTGCTTCTAAGACTGATGATCTCCAAGGACAAGGAGAGGATTTGGGATTGCCTGCTAGCCAAAAGCTGTCTCATTTTTTTTGCTCATTTATTCCTCCCAGATCTGTCTAAAGGCACTTGACAACTCAAAGTACTGTTCTTTAACAGATTTCATAGTCCAACATTAACAGATTTTAATCTTCAGAGGGTCAGAGTTCCCAATTTTCTCTAATAGCCTTCTAACCTATGACATCAAGATATAAAATCTGTTCCAGGAAAAGTTTCTTACAGGTTCCTGGAAAAGTTCTATTGCTACACAAAACCAGGTCTGGTAAAGGTCAAGGCTTTTCATTTTAATCCCAGCCAGTTTTAAGCATATTTTGCAGATTACTCCTGCTGCCTAAGTCAAGACTTACCTGCAAAACTCTCACAGGACAACCCCAAAAGCACCAGTATCCGTTCCTGAGACTTCAACATTGGTGCCAACTCTCCTAGATCAAGAACACCTACCAACTCTTCTGGATCAAGGACACCTGCCAAGTAAAATCTGGTTTCATCTGCTATTGTGTCTCATTCCATGACTAGCTCCACTTCATAGGGCCAATGATAAGAATTTTTTTCCTCCTAGACACCTGCCTTTTTACCTCCCTCAAGAAACAGATGCCTGGCATCTCCAGGATGACAGTGAACAGGATGCCTCTCTCGCCACACCTCCCACTGAATGTGGAACCACCAACACCCAGCTCTCCCCTCCCCAACATCACCCCATGCCCGTAGGAAGTAGCCAGACTTGAGTCTAAACCCTTTTTCCAAAGAGAGTCTAAAATGTTCGTCATAATTATCACCTCAACTTCCTGTCACCCCTATATCCAAAGAGTCTGGAATGTTAAGTTGGGAGCATCACCCCAGCCCCTGGCATCCATACCAGCCTCCTGGCCTGGGAGTTGCCTTGGTCTGGACTCCAAATCCCAACATGCCAGGTCCTGACCCCTCGCAGGGAGAGGGTCAGGACCACTCCCACAGGGTATTTAAGTGGGTGCCCAGCGGAGGAACACATGGTACAGGGTTTTGCATGTGCTCCCCGGTTTTCTGTCTTTCCTGCCACGCTCTTAGCCACCCGAGAGCGCTGTATTTAATAAAACAGGGGAATTTTAATTTGGTGTAATCTCTTTTATTGGGTTTTTGTGCACTGGCAGAGCGGCTTGTCTTAGTATTTTTCCTAACAAGCAGCACCCCTCCATGGCCTCTGCATCAGCTCCTGCCTCCAGGTTCCTGCCCTGACTTCCCTTCATGAAGGACTGTTTGTTACGGTCAATTGTCACTTTAAGAGACAAGCCACGCCCACTCCCAGAGACCCCCCCTGCCCTCCTCGCCATCTTGATTCTCACTGTTCCTTTTGGTGCGTGCTTGCCTGCCTACTGCTGCTGGGGATCTTGCAGCATTTTTAACACTGTTATTGATACTTGTGTAATAAACCCTTTCCTTTCCAACTTACTTTTTGGTCATGGCTTCTGTTAGACTGTAGGTTTTGGGACAAAAAGATCTCTGCCCCCCTTCCAGCTGGAAGTGGATCCTGGCAGAGAACCTGAGAACCAACCAAAAGATTCCCACCAGAAGCCCGAGCTCTCAAAAGTTCCAGCAAAACACTGGACAAAGCAGACACTTAGATCCAGATTCCAAAGTGACCACTGGACTCAAGACACACCTACGGGACCCCAAACCCAGCCAACACTCCAATATCTTACCAATCGCGTCACTTCCTCCCACCCAGCTCCCACAAAGTTTCTAACCCTGTCCAGCCACATGACTTCTTGGACCTCCAACTACGGACCTGACTCACCCAGGAGCAATTAATCCCTAAATAAACCTACTCTACTCGGCAGCAGAGGAGACGTGATAGAGGAAAGATGGAAGACTTCCAGGCTTCCGAAGAGACTGCATTTGTTGTCGATGAAGTGAACAACATTGTAAAGGAGGCTATAGAAAGTGCCATCGGTGGCAATGCCTACCAGCACAGCAAAGTCAATCAGTGGACCACTCTGAGCCAGCTCACCAAGCTGGGGAAGCCATTTAAATACATCGTGACCTGTGTAATCGTGCAGAAGAATGGCTCTGGGTTACACACGGCAAGTTCCTGCTTCTGGGACAGCTCTACTGACGGGAGCTGCACAGTCCGATGGGAGAACAAGACCGTGTACTGTACTGTCAGTGCCTTCGGGCTGTCCATCTGACCTCCTCGCCAGCCTGCCGCCCCCGTGGCTCAACATTTCTCTTTCATGTTAACCACCAGCTAGGGATCAGGTGAACGTCTTCCTCCTCTTTGTGTTTTGTGGCACTCGAAACGTAGGGAACCACGGAGGGAACCACACAGCGTCAGGTAGATGAGCAGCCAGCTGTTGCCTGAGGCTGGTAGCACCGCTTGTCTTAACTCTATCTTTTCAAAGGTGCTAAAAACCGAAGTCTGCTAGGAGGAATCTTTCTCTACTTTCTGAAATAATTCAGATACACTAATTTTCCTTACTTTATACTTTTGTTAGAATAATAAATTATTCAAAATTTTAAAAAAATAAATAAATAAAAAAACAAACCTGCCTTTTACTCTTTAATTTGGCTCAATTGGGTTTATTGCCGTGGCAGGTGGAGACGTCATTTAACTACTATCACAACAATGGAAATCCTAAAAGAAGATGGGCATTTTCTCAGTCCAGGCTGCTCTTCCCAGACCACCCTAGCGGGTGTTGACACAACCAACCAATGCATGTGAGGGGGCATGAAAAAGATACTGCTGATGTCCTCTCCATTATTAGGGAGAAAGTTTATATTGTGAATAAGAGAGCGAAAATGCCCAAAGGCACCTGGAGGAGTCCAGAGTAGAGAGAAAGGGAAACAGACTGGATATGACCAGGGCTATCCATGAGAGAAGGGATTCTTGCAGAGGCCAGGGAAACCTTCCCCCATAAAGAGAACAAACGGGTGTATTGAGGAGATTGACCTGGAGATGTGAAAAGAGCCAGGATGCTAGGACGGATGACAGGCACTTGTGACACTGTGTATACTGCCAACAATAACAAATACCACAAACATCCATTTGTTCATCCCTTCTGCCAGAGGGAAGGGAAATGTTTCCTTTTGGCAGGTGGGAACCGTTTTCTCAAGTTCTGGAGGAATGCTGACTTTCTCTGATGGCCTCTATAATCCAGTTTGAGCTCATTTCTGGCTGTCTGGGCTGTGAGAGACCTAACACCAGGAAGCCCACAAACAGGCCCACAGGCTAATCTAATCTAGGCAGTTCCTCAATTGAGGCTTTCCTGTCTGGGCTACAGGCTACGTCAAACTCACCAGGGTTCACTCCTAGCACTTGTAAGGCATTGGGTTCAGCCTAGAGAGTCAGGGAGGTTGGAAGGGCGGGAGTAAGGGAGACTGTTCACCAAGGAACCAGTTTTGTTCCTGCAATGCCAAGACCTGTACCTGACCTTAGAATATTGTTACCAGCATGGCACCTTCTCCCTTATGGACTGCCACAGCCACGGCCTCACTCTCTGCTCCGGGGGGCGGGGGGTCTCGTTAACACCTAGAGTTGTTTCTGTCCCTGCCCTCTGCCCTCACCTCCCACTCTTCCAAGCCCTCCGCTCCAGTCACACACACCTCCCCTGAATGTGGGTCCAGAATGAATGAAAAGAAAAAAGCTAGCTAAACTCCAGGCTTCATCTCTCCCTGCTTCCTGACTGCCAATGTAATGTGACCAGCCGCCTATCATTCCTGCCACCGTGCTTGAACTGCCATAGATGTCCTTGGCCTGGGCTTGTGAATGGAATTCTAAGACCCGCCCCATCTGAGAGGTAGATTGAACTCAAAGTCAGTGAGGGTTTTGGCCCTTTGGGAAGCAGGTCAGTGGCAAGAATGAAGGCTCCACCCCGTTGGAAACCAGGTCCTTTGCCAGCCTGCCTTCAGCAGCTCAACCCCAGCAGCTACATCATTGCCGGCTGTGTTATCAGTGTGCCAGTACATCAGGTCCAGGCGCCAAATGCGGTCTGCGCACCCTTTCAGACTTGCTCTCTCCCTCTGTCTGTTTCTCTCTTGTCCCCACCCCTCCTCAGGATGGCTAAAGGAATCTGTGCCCAGAGCTAAACTAGAGCTAAAGGCAAAGAGGGCCTTGTGGAAAATGCCCCGTGGCACTCCTAGGGGCACAACAATTCAAATGAAAGCTGATTTCCCATCAGAAATGGCAGAACTTTCAAACTGCAGAAGGAAAAAATTGGCTGTCACAAATTCTAAATCTAGAGCTGGGAAAGATGGTTCCATGGGTAAAGCATTTGCCGAACAAGGGTGAGAACCTGGTATTGAATCTCTAGCACCCACATAAATGCCAGATGGGCCTAGTAGCCTTCCCGTAAATCCAGATCTCAGAAGGCAGAGACGGGGTCCCTAGAACAAGCTGGCTAGCTACTAGCTGACTGGCAAGCTCTGGCTTTAATTGAGAGACTCTGTCTTGATAAAGAAGGTGGAGAGTTGTTGTGGGATATTCCTTTACACTGTGCGAGGATGCAGCACTGGGATTGGTTTACTGAGGAGGTGAAGCAAGGATGCAGCACTGGGATTGACTTACTGAGGACCTGAATGGAGGGCTGGAGAGATAGCTCAGAGGTAAAGATCACCTTAGTGGGATCTCCATATATTAGGAAAATTCCTAAGACCAGCCACTCCACTGGCACAAAAAAAAAAAAATCCAATCAGGTCAAATCAAACCAAATTAAAATGCCCATGTTTTATTAAGTACAGCACTTTTGAGTGACCAAGAGCATGGCAGGGGAGACAGAAAACCGGGGAGCACATGCAAAGTGTTCCTCCTCTGGGTGCCCACTTAAATACCCTGTGGAGTGTTCCAGAGAGTCAGGATTTGGAGTCCAGACCATTGCAATTCCCAAGCCAGGGGGCTGGGATGAATGCCAGGGGCTGGGGTGACGCTCCCAACTTAACATTACATTCCAGACTCTTTGGATATAAGGGTGACAGGGAGTTGAGGTGATAATTATGACCAACATTTTAGGCTCTCTTTGGAAAAAGGGGTGTAGACTCAAGTCTGGCTACTTCCTGAGGGCATGGGATGACGTGGGAGAGGGGAGAGCTGAAAGTTGGCCAGCTCACGCTCAGCAAAAGGTGTGTTTGGGCGGCATCCCGTTTACTGTCATCCTGGAGTCCTCAGGCAGCTGCTTTATGAGGGAGATGCGAAGGCAGGTGTCTAGGAGAAAAAAAAATATTGTTTTTATTGGCCCTATGAAAAGGGGCTAGCCATGGGATGAGACACAATAGCAGATGAAACCAGATTTTACTTGGCAGGTGTCCTTGATCCAGAAGAGTGGCTGGTGTCCTTGAGAGCTGGCACCAACGGTGAAGTCCCAGGAGTTGGTGCAGGTGCTTTTGGTGTGGTCCTGGGGGCGCTTTGTAGGTTGGTCTTGGTTTAGGCAGCAGGAGTGACCTGTAAAATATGCTTGAAACTGGCTGGGGTTAGTGTAGCAGTAAAACAGTTAAAGGAATTGGGAGCCCTGGATTTTACCAGACCTGATTCTGATGTATGCTGGTCTGGCCTGTCACCTGGGTACCCTGTCCCTTTAAGAGACAAACCCCACCCACTCCCAACCCCCCCCCCTTCCCCTGAGGCAAGCAGATATCCCTCCTCCTCCAGCCTGTGCTCTCTCTCTCTCTTTCCATCCCTCTTCTGAAGAGGTAGCTGCTATCTGTTTTTCTCTCCCTCTCTCATTCCCTCCCCCATCCCTCATCTCCCCCCTTCTCCCCCTCCTTCCCTCTCTGTTTCTATCTTCCTCTCCCCCCTCTCTCCTTCCCTTTCCCTTCCATAACCCACTAAATAAACTCTCACCTGCCAAGGTGACCCACCGAGGCCTCAGGTCACCCGCCACTACCCTTCATGGGACCGGCTGCCCCTGTGGGACCACTGCCCTTCATGGGACCAGCTGCCCCTGTGGGACCACTGCCCCTCGTGTGACTGACCTTCCTCCCCTTATATCTTTAAAATGAATAACTCCAGTTCCAGGGGATCTGATGCCCTCTTCTGTTTTCCTTGGGCACCATGCATTTACTGATGGAGGAGGGTTATCTGTCTATTGTGTTATTTTCATTGGTCAATAAAGAAACTGCCTTGGCCCTTTGATAGGACAGAAAATTAGGTAGGCGGGGTAAACAGAACAGAATGCTGGGAAGAGGGCAATGAGGCAGACGCCATGGAGTCAGCCACCAGGTCAGACATGCTGAATCTTTCCCGGTAAGCCACACCTCGTGGTGCTATACAGATTATTAGAAATGGGTTAATATCAAGATATGAGAGTTAGTCAGTAACTAACTCTCTAGAGATAATGGGCCAGGCAGTGCTTAAATGAATACAATTTGTGTGTTGTTATTTCTGGGACTAAGCTAGCCGTGCGGGAGCCGGGTGAGGTGAAAAGCAGGCCTGCCCTGCAGTTCCTTACTAAAATTTACATGGTGGACAGACACACATGCAGTCAAAACATCCATACACATAAAATAATAATTTTTAAAAAGAGCAAAATGACCATTAGCTATGCAGGAAAAAGTTAGGCAGGGCTTCAGGGTGCAGAGAGTTCAGAGAAGAAAGGCAGGGGACCCATCCAGACATGAAGGAACCAGAATGGACAAAGTAGAGATGAGGGCACATGGAGGATTGTAGATTTAAAACTACAGGTTATTTTTAAGTTATAATAGTTAGAAAGAAGCCAAAGCTAAGGCTGAGCTTTTCATAATTAATAATAAGTCTTCAGGTCATTTTTTTGTATGTGAGCTGACAGCCCCAAAAGAAAAGTCTGTCTGTTAGTATTCAGGCATCTGTACTGGCCTGCCCTTGGGGTCCTGAGGGGATAATTCTCAGCTGCAGCCACTGTGAGAACCTTCTGTGAACGTTTGCTCATTCCCTTATAAAAGGTGGACTTTACACACCTCCTGTCCCTCGCTCTCTCTTCCTTTCTCCCCCTTTCTCCCCCATCTCTCCATCTCTCCCTCTCCCCCCCCATTCCTCTCCCTCCCCACGAGGTCACATCTGCACCTCTTCTCTTCCTCTCTCTTCTTCTTTTTTTTCCCCTCTCTCCAGCCCCCACCCATCTCTCTTCCACCACTCTTGTCCCCAGGGACCAGTCTCTGCCCCCCCGCCCCTTTTTTCTCCTCTTCTAATGAACCTCCTATGTGAGCTCTGTTGCATGGCGTGACTTCTCTTCGTGGCATTTTTGAGTAAATTATGATATCAGCCTCATACATGTACACATACTCACATGCCCACACACACACCTGCACCCTGCTCATGTGAACAACCATGCACGCACA